CTGAGACAAGTACTTAAGTTGCTATATGCCTCAATTTCCTCAACTTGGGATAATAGCATAATTATATTGGGAGGATGGAATTAGTTAATAGATAAAAACAACTTAGTGTCCTTCATGTGGTAATTGTGTGTAAACATTAACTATCATTTGGTAGTATTCTCAAATTGATTGGAATGTTCACTATTTTGCAATATGCAAATTCTTATATTTAAATAATCCATATGCTGATCTGATTCTCAGACACCCACTGTGTCCTATCATTCAATTCTGACACTACTCTACAAATGAAGGGCTCGGTCCCACAAGACTGCCTCCACTTTAGATGCCTGTCTTGGAATGCCTGGATGGCTCAGTCAGTTAAGCATCTGACTCTTGATTTTGGCTCAGGTTTGATCTCACAGTTTATGGGTTCAAGCCCCATGTTAGGCTCTGCGCTGACCGTGCGGAGCCTGCTTGGGATTGTCTCCCTCTCTCTCTGCTCCTTCCCTGCTCTCTCTTCAAAATAAATAAACTTTTAAAAAATCGTAGATGTCTGTTTCAAGTGTTAGGAACAACCCATACTTCTGACCCACTGGCTATAAATCAGGGATTGCCACGACCCCCTGCTCACATTTGATAATTTGCTAGAATGGCTCATAGACCTCGGGAAAACACTTTCCTTACATTTTCCAGCTTATTATAAAGGATACAAAAAAACAGCCAGATCAAGAGGTACATGGGACAAGGTCCGGAAGGGTACCAAGCACAGGAACCTCAGTCTCAGTCTCTCTGCAGGTGGACACATTCACCAACTTGGAAGCTTAGCAAATCTCATTATTGAAGTTGTTAACATCTCCAACACTCCTCCTCCCTGGAGGTTGGAGAGTGGGTCCCAAAAGAAAGGAACCAAAGGTTTCTACCCTTTGCCCTTTCAGGAGACCAGCCCCGTCACCGGCCATCTGGGGGCCCCACCCTGCTACCTCATTAGCATAAACTTAGGTGTGATTGGAACAATCATCATTGTTATGAGTAACGAAAAACACTCCTATTACTCAGGAAATCCAAGGGTTTTAGGAGCTTTCAGATTGCCGGGAACGAGGAAAAAAGACCAAGTGTATTTTTTATTGTACCAGAGTTGGAAAGGAGAGAAAATTGTTATTTTAAATACATAGTCATATCTTTTCAAGTAGCCCTCAAATTCTTCAGAAGCAAATACCAGGACTTCAATTTCAATTGTCCTACAATATCAAGCATGGTGCGAGATAAGTACTCAATGGTCACTGTACTACCTTGCATTCATAGAATGCTTCGTAGCTCTACAAAGTTGTCTCATATGAATTATCTTCTTTGAATCTTACACACTTGTGATGGTCAACATTTTTTTTTTTTTTAAACATTTATTTTTTTTTTTTTTACATTTATTTATTTTTGCGACAGAGAGAGACAGAGCATGAACGGGGGAGGGGCAGAGAGAGAGGGAGACACAGAATCGGAAACAGGCTCCAGGCTCTGAGCCATCAGCCCAGAGCCCGACGCGGGGCTCGAACTCACGGACCGCGAGATCGTGACCTGGCTGAAGTCGGACGCTCAACCGACTGCGCCACCCAGGCGCCCCGATGGTCAACATTTTACAGATGATCAAACTGAGGTCCTGAGATGTTACGTTACTTACCCCATAACATCTTTTAGAAGAAGCAGAGATACAATACAAACTCAGTTCTTCTGATTTAAATTCTAGCCTTGTCCACTTCACCACAAAAGATATTAACCTGTAAGATAGGTGACTGTTCTATCTAACTTGGTCCTAAAATCATCTAATTTCTCTGGGTCTTATTTTCTCCATCTGAGAAATGGGATTAAAGGATTTTCATTTCCAAAATCTTAAGATTCTATAATCTCTAAATTCTCTTCTACTTTTAAAATATCATTACCTGTGATCCACAACAGTTGCTTTTTCTTTTGCACTGGAATGTCAACAGTGGAGGTAGTCAGCAAATGTATTTTCACTTAACAATGTTCTTAGAGGGGCACCTGGGTGGCTCAGTCGGTTAAGCGTCCGACTTCAGCTCAGGTCATGATCTCACGGTTCACGAGTTCAAGCCCCGCATTGGGCTCTGTGCTGACAGCTCAGAGCCTGGAGCCTGCTTCGGATTCTGTGTCTCCCTCTCTCTCTGCCCCTCCCCCAACCACACCCTGTCTCTCTTTCAAAAATAAATGATCAAAAAAACAAACAAACAAACAACCACAATGTTCCTAGAAAGCCACTAATTTAGGAAAGATATAACATTTAGTAACATTGGCTATATGACAAATCCCACTGGTTTTCATTAAAAAAACCAAACACCAAACACCTATGTTTCTAAAGAAAAGTATGTAATATACTTTACTAATTAATTTTGGTGAAGAATAAGAAGGAATAATTTTGACTCCCATGACATCGTATGTGTTAAAGAAGTACTCTAGGGGCACCTGGGTGGCTCAGTCGGTTAAGCCTCCCACTCGCTCAGGCCTTCCACAATCTCAAGGTCCTGTGGAGTTCAGAGTCTGCCAGGCTCCTGGGCTGATGTGGCTCCAGAGCCTGGAGCCTCGATCTCTGTGTCTCCTCTCTGCCCTCCCCCTGCTCATGCCTCGGCCCCCCCCGTCCCAAAAAATAAATAAACGTTAAAGAAGTACTCTAAAAGTAGACGGTATGTATTTGTAAAATGTTCTTGATTTCAGGAATATTTCAGCCAGGTATCTACCTTTTCTTAGACAATTAACATTTCTCTCTTAGAAATTATTGGAATTTGCACAACTTCCTTCTATTCTACTCCAGGATAGGAAGAACATGTGGGTAGGCTGGAATACCACTTCTTAACCCTCCCCAGGAGAGTGTTATTGTTGAGTAAATCAAGAAATAATAGTCAGGTATTGGAGGGGAGGCTAAATTAGTAGGTAAATTCTGCTTGCCAACATTGAGATTTCACACCTTCATTGTTCACCCTACCCTAAAATTCAAGGCTCCCAGTTAATGTGAGATGTCTATAACTCACTTTATAAAGCCTCTAAATTCAAAAAACTTAATTTGAAAAGAAGCATACTCAACACAATTGATAAAATACTTTTTCTTCTTTCCCTTTTAAAAAAGTATTTAGATGGGGCGCCTGGGTGGCGCAGTCGGTTGTTGCCGTTCGACTTCAACTAGGTCACGATCTCATCAAATCAGGACAGAGTTCGAGCCCGCGTCATTTTGACCGATGGCTCAGGAGCCTGGAGCCCGTTTCTGATTCTGTGTCTCCCTCTCTCTCTGCCCCTCGCCCGTTCATGCTCTGTCTCTCTCTGTCCCAAAAATAAATAAAAACGTTGAAAAAAAAAAAAAAGTATTTAGATGAAACGTTTTAAGTGTAAATGTAATTACATACCTGAAGGCCCAATCTGAAGCATTATAGGCCTCAAACATTTAATGTCATAAGCTATTCATTCGACTACACTTTTGCAGATATCACTGATCAGCAGTAATTACTCTTTGTAGCAGCTACATCATTTTTCAGATTGCTATCCTCAGTCTAATATTTATTCAGTGCCTACTATATGTCAGGCACTAGGCTAATTGTTTAGTTTCACACAATTCTTAAAAAAGGTCACTTACTGCACTTTGGTTCACTTTACCCTTTTGTAATGAAATAAAAGGTAGCTTGTTACCCGTTGCAAACCTTGTTCGCTCACTTTTTCAACTTCAAGTTGTAGAGACGTCAAATACACAAGACACAACCATCTTCAATGGAGAAAATAATGCCTTTCGTTGCGACATTAAAAAACACACAACACACACACACACTAAAAAGTATGGCTTACTACTTATAACTAGGGGAAGAATAAATACAGATTACAGAGTAAATTTAACAAACACTGAAATGCATCGTGGAGTTTCTGCGTAGCCCCAGGAAGCCGACCACACCAAAAAAGGCATGTTATAGGAAAGCAGACGTCAGCTCAAAACAACCCCCCTCGTCCAAACAACTTTTCTAAGAGTTGAAGCTGGTTTGAATACTGGAAATAGATGCTTCAGGAAGGACTGCCTGCCTGAATCCTGTAAACGCGAGTGGAGGCACTGGAGGAAAGTCGGATCCCTCTATACACTCTCAAGAATCTGTCAACACATATACATGGATTCCAAAATTAGCATTACTGTGATGAATTCCTTAACCTGACAAAACAGGTGGCACGAGTTCCTTCCTCTCTCTGGACCAAGAAGTCTGGCAGTCAAGGTTAGGGTTCCCGCCTTTTTCTCTCCAGTCTGCTGATACAGCCCTTTGGGAAGAGCTCAGTGGATGATCTCGCCGGCTAAAGACATTCGGACGAGCTCTCCTGTGGACCTCCATTAAGAGAGTGAACCGTTCTTATCTTGGACTGCTCCTTTCTATCGCAAGGAGGGACAGAGCATCTCCCCTGGGGCGCCGAGGAGGTGAGGATACCCTGGAAAGGAGGCGCACTCGGGAGGAAATGGGGAGCGTTCCGGGAGTGAGGTCCCACCCAGCGTGGAGCGTGGAAAAAGGGAAGGAGGGCCGTGGGGCACACGGTGAGGGTCAGAGAACAGAGAGCGGCGTGGCCTGAGCGTCCAGGGCAGTGCCCAAGATCGGGGCGGGGTGCGTTCACTGCGGAGGGAACCGAGCGGGTCACGGGCACGAGGGCTGAAGTGGCCGAGAGGCCGTATGGGCGCCGGACAGCACGCATGCGCGGGTCCGGAGCCCCGGGGTTCGCCCCTTCGGGCGCGCGGCCGTCGCCGCCCGGGCCGATCGGGCCACCGGCACGGATCATGGGGCCCCCCCAGCCCTAACGAGGTGGCCCGCCTCACGCTCTTCGCCTTCCCACGGCCCCAAACCCGGCGGCCAGGTCAGGCCCGCGGGGGCCGCGACGCCGGCGTCAACCGCGGCTGCGACGGCCTCTGGGAGCGCGTGAGGCTCCGGGGTCGCTGCGGCGATTGGCCGGCCGCGGCGCCCGCTCCCATAATGCAGCGCATGGCGCGTCATTGAAGAGAGACCATGATGGCGGCGGCGCTGGGGCCCCCAGAAGTGATCGCTCAGCTGGAGAACGCGGCCAAAGTTCTGATGGTGAGTACACCGCGACCCCCGTACCCCAGCATCTGCGGGCCTCTGGCTGGCCTTGCCGTGCCAGGCCTTCCCGCCCGCTGGGCCGGCGACCGGCCAGGGCCTCCAGGGAGCCCTGGAAGTGGAGGTGGCGGTGGCGTGGCGCAGGATTCTCCATCCTACTTTCCTCTTGCCTTCGTTCCCCCCGCTTCCCGGGGCTGTCCTCATCGCCCAGGTGTCTGGCACCCCAGCCGGGCGACGGAACATGGTGCCGTAGGAAAGAGGGTTTCCTGTGCCACGGTCTTCACCGTACGCCCTGCCCCGCAGACTGGGTCGAGAGCGAGGCGCGGGGAGCGAGGTCCCGGTCATCCCCGCAGGGCTTTGGTCGGGGGCAGTGCGTACGCCGCTGGGGAGTTGGTGCCACAAAGGAAGGGGTAGCCCAGCCCAGGTGCTCTTAGCAACGCTGGTTTCCTCCGAGCCTTCGGGTCCTCAAGCTCTTTCTCTGACCTGCCACCTCTGGGGTAACCGCAGCCGCCAGCACGTGGGAGGACGGGGAGGGAGGGAGGGAGGGGAATCTTTGGGACCAAGGTCATTGGGGCAAAACTTTATTAAGTACCAAGCTCCCTGTGGGTCGCACATTGAGGAGAGCTGAATCTAAGGTGCTCGTTGACTTCGTTCTTACAGTGTACAGTGAACAGCTTGATGAGTAGGTTATTTACCCAGGGCGTTTGAGGAGGCTGAGTAAAGGGATTTAAAGAAAATAATCCACGCAGGGAGTAGAAGTCAGGATAAACCATATTCAGTTACTCGTAAACTGCGTATGCATTTTTTGGCTCGGTTTTGTTTTTGTAAGTTTTCATCTCCGCGTTTGTAGATGTTTGTTGGAAGTTAGAGGCTCAGTAAATTGCTTGAATTGATCCAGCCTTTCCAAGAATCTAATACAGCCAGATTCGTTGTTTTTTTGAGCATTTTTCCTTTGGGTTCAGTGCTTGGATTATGTGTTCGAACATCACATTTAAAAGTGTTTGAACTAATTCTAGCATAGTTTCTCGTTGGATTTATAAAGTTTTGTTTTCACACGCAACACCAGATAGCTCATGAAATTCAGCTAACGAAATTGAGAAGTCTAATGAAAGTAGGATATATTTGCTTCATTATGAGCAAAGCTAAGTGAATCTTTTAGTCACAGAACTGAGTAAAGTTTTCAGACTCTTGCAAGTTAAGTCCCCCAAAAAACTAGCTAGTATTCCCCCTTAATACAAGGTTCTTAAAATCCCTGACATGGTGTTTCCTGAAACATCTGAAAAAATTTCTAAGAGCCAGGGACTCTATTTTTATTAGGCTCTGGAAGGAGTATGTGACCCCAAAAAGCATTGCTTTAGTTCTTACATTGATAAGATAAAATTAGTGTCTTTCATCACTGGCCTGAATATTAATTAGCATTTGTGTTTGCTAGTACCTTCCCTCTTCCTTGGCAAAGCTAGTTTTATCATCTGTAACGGAGTAGCTGAGAAGAATAGTAATAAGTACTGTTTATTGAGTGCATACTACATGCCAGATACTGTGTTTGATGCTTTACATAGTCTCTTAATCCTGGCAACAGCTTTACAGGGTTGAGAGAGAAAGTTTAAGTGGCACAGGTTACATAATTACTGAGTTGATGATTTAGGTTCAGAACTCAGATCTGTCTGGCTCTAAAGTTGGGGCTGTTTCCACTCTATCTCACCACTTCTTACATATGTTGTGTAGATATCCGTTTACATACTTTTTAATCTTTCCAGAGTAAAGTACTGAAAAAAAAGTTATTAAAATTAGGAAATTTGTTTTGGGAAGCTTCCACTTACTATTCACAAATGTGTAAGTAACAATTATGGCGTTATTTCTCAACACGAAAGCTGTATTCCAGTTTATTACTAGTAATAACAGTTCACTTTATTAAGTGCTTACTGTGTGCGAGGCACTATGCCAAGCGCTCTACGTACGTTAACTTTAATCATTACTAACTATGAGGTGGTTATTATTACTTTCATTTTCCTTTTATAGATTAAGAGACTCAAACATGGAGATGCTAAGTAATTTACCCAAATTTTCGAGGAAAGTGGTAGAGTGGGAACTTCAACTCAAGTCTGTCTGTCACCAGTTTGTGGTTCTTAACCTAAAGGGAAGTGGGACTAGAAAGCTAATATATTAATTCATTTGGGAATAGTTAAGATTGTTAAATCCTCAACTGTTAAGCATGAAGATACCTTTTAAAAGGGTGAATGGTTTTAGCATTTATCCATCTGAAGAAATACCGCTTATAGGAAATTGCTATATATTTTAGTTGTTACTATGTTTTGGGATTCAAAGTAATTAGTGATGTCTTTCACAATCACTTTGCTTAGTTTTTTCATTTGGTAGTCCGTAGACTTCTTTTATGAAAATTGGCATCGAATTTTAGTTTGCAGAAGAATCTCAAGACATCTTTATTTAGTACACAGGTCTTAGTCCACAATGGCTATCAGAAGGAAATTAAAACAAGTTTTTTGATGCAAACATACGTTTTTGGTAATAGGGTTTATAGATTTTTATCAGCTTTTCTAAGGAAGTAGAGACCCTGAGCAATAAGCACCTAGTCTAAGCATTCTCCCTTCCATTCTACAGATGGGGAAACTGAGGTTCAAAGAGGTAGAAGTGACTTGCCAAAGGTAGGTCACAGAACAAATTAGTGATAAGAGTGATTCAGAACCTAGATCACTCCTGTTTCAGAACTTAAAATTTTTTTTTTACTCAATCATGTTGCTTCTTAAAGTCAACGTATTTATAACACCATAAATGTTACATTTTATTGCTTGGTGGGAAATTTTGAAATGTGTTTTTGGATATTGCAGTTGCTTCTTTGTAAACATCTATATTCAGTCCCAATTAGGTTATTGGATAAGCTGCCAAATCGTGTATTAGACCTTTAGAGGGAAAAATATATTCATTGATCTTATAGATCTCACCATAAAGAGTGATTTTCCTCTGCCTCAAATAGTGATAGGGAGCATTTTCTATAGATTCTTGTAAATACTGCTTAATCTTCTGATTCAAGCGAGGTTACTTGCTAGAAAATAAATTTGAAGGTGAACAAACTAGAATGAGGATGGACTTTTGTAGGTTAGTAACTGTGCAGGTGAAGTTATTCTGAAAACATTGTGCGAATGGAAAGTTATGTAAGTAGGTGCTGAACGTTTCTTCCCCAAAAAAGATTTCAGTTACCAGCTTTTTGTTTAAGATACCCACCCCTGAATTTTTGAGAGGATATTAAATGCATACTAGAGTAAGTAATGTGGGTCATACTTCTGTGCTAATAACATTCTTATCAGTAAGAGTCTTTTCTCTGACTGCATGAATTTAGCAGGTTACATTACAGACCTGAAAATGTGATGTTGTAGACACATTTTCTGTTATTTAAAATTATAACAGCAGTACTGGAACATATTATTTTAAAATATAGCAACAGCACACAAATACATAGAATAACGAGTCTCTCTCTTCTTCCTTTCCCCACTCTCAGTCTGCCTCCTTAAGCAATCCATATTAAATTTGAATATACCTTTTTTCCTGTGCTTTTATAATACCCATTATATAGTTTTTCCTTTTTTATGTTAATGAGAATGCTATAAATATTCTTTTTTTTTTTTAAATTTTTTTTCAACGTTTATTTATTTTGGGGACAGAGAGAGACAGAGCATGAACGGGGGAGGGGCAGAGAGAGAGGGAGACACAGAATCGGAAACAGGCTCCAGGCTCTGAGCCATCAGCCCAGAGCCCGACGCGGGGCTCGAACTCACGGACCGCGAGATCGTGACCTGGCTGAAGTCGGACGCTTAACCGACTGCGCCACCCAGGCGCCCCCAAATATTCTTAATTTTAGAAATCTTGGAGATGCCTTCTGAAGAGTAAAAAATTCAAGCTGCGCAGAAGGGTGTATAGGGGAACGTAAAAGTTCCCTAAGCTCCTGTTCCATCTCTTCAGACACTCCTGTTTCTTGGGTGCATATATTAGAAATCTCTGAGCATAGGGACACCTGGGTGGCTCAGTCGGTTGGGCGCCCGACTTCGGCTCAGGTCATGATCTCGCAGTTGGTGGTTCGAGTCCCGTGTTGGGTTCTCTGCTGACAGCTAAGAGCCTGGAGCCTGCTTCGGATTCTGTGTCTCCCTCTCTCTCTGCTCCTACCCCGATCACGCTCTGTATCTCTCTCTCCAAAATAAATAAACATTAAAAAAAATTAACAAATAATCTCTAGGCATATAAGAGCGTACGTCATGTTTATTTTTTATTTTATTTTTTTGTTTCTTTTTCAACATGTAAATATTTATTTGTGGGTAATCATAAATCAATGGGACCAGCACAAGACTGACACAGCCTCTGTAATGCTGATAGCAATTTTACGTTTGTAGATGCATCCAGCACACAGGATGTGTAGAACTGGTAGGCCCCAGGGCTAACCGAATCACATCTAAACCTTGTAGCTAGGACCAAGGGGTGACAGGGACCATGTTCTGAGGCTGCATAACTCTTCCCTCCCACCTCTCCCCAAAGAAGGACACATATCATTTTTTAAATGTATTTTTAAAAAACGGATTGGGGTGCCTGGCAGTGCAGTTGGTTGAGCGTCCAGCCCTTGTTTTCGGCTCAGGTCATGATCTCACGGTTCATGAGATTGAACCCTGTGATGGGTTCTGTGCTGACAGTGAATCCTGCTTGGAGTTCTCCCTCCCTCCCTCTCTCTCTCTCTCTCTCTCTCTCTCTCTGTGCCCCTCTATGCTCATGCGTGCATTAGTGCGCTCTCTCTCAAAATAAAAAAAGTATTTTTTTTTACATCAGTGAATATTGTACAATCCATATGTTCCTGTGCTTTTCTCTGTTCACTTCATTGTAAATGAATTTAAAAATTCTTTTTAATTGTAAATGAATTTTAAAGGAAGTTTGTTTCCATTTTGTGTGTGCGCATGAACAGATATAAAATGTAGGGTGTGTTTTGATTTTAGAGACATCCT